CAATAGCATTTGTATTATGGGTTAGATATCCATTTAATATATCGTACTACTATGAAGATAACTAATGGTAAAGGTTAGAAGAGACAAGTCAGATTATATGTGGTTAAGAGATGGTAAGGGCTAATAGCAAACCAGAGGATATTACTGTGGGAGACAACAAACCGGGTTCCAATGGAGGAAGAAATCAGTAATAAGCGCTGGAAGTGATAGGACATTCATTGAGGAAGTCACCCAACTGCGTCATAAGACAAGCCCTCATATGGAATATTGAAGGTCAAAGGAGAAGAGGAAGATCAAAGAACACATTACTCCGAGAAATAGAGACAGACATGAGTAGAATGAATAAAAATTGGATAGAACTAGAAAAGAAGGCCCAGGACAGAGTGTGTTGGAGAATGCTGGTCCGCGGCCTTTGCTCCATTGGGAGTAACAGGCGAAAGTAAGTAAGTATTACTGAGCAAACAACTTCCAGTTGGTTTTTTCTGCTCAGAGTTTTCTGGAACCCAGTTCACTGGAAAGCTGGAAGACTAAAAGTCGGTTAGATCAAAAGCTGCTGCAAGTAATTTAAGCTGTGTTCAAATGACCTCCTTCCTTTTTGACAAGTGATTAGTTCGTATTCGTTTTGTATGTATCTACCAGCTATCTCATGGCCTTGATTATACCATGGATTTAGGCCCCAACCAGGCCTGTAGGTAAGTTCATACAGGTATTTTGTGAATTTTGAGCATCACTGCTATTGCTTAATCATCGTTCAATTGATCAACTCACACCATGTAGGGTACTTAAGCCCAAAATTTAAGAAATCTGAATGTCACAACTTTATTTGATCGCATCGAACTCTTTCTGTAAATATTCATTTGTTTCACTAACTGCATATTTCCGTTGAGAAAGTTCAGGAACATCTAATTCAATAGTCTGTATGAATTCCTTGTGGAAAGCAAGTTCAGAAACAGGTTTTTGCACTTGACTTCAGGCAAACACGTGTGTCATGTATTATTCAGAACATGAAAGTAGGAAGTACACTGCTGACATGAAATAAAACAGTAAACAACTATAAACTCATGTTTCAGTGCATTTAGCTTAACAGCAAGCTGTATAAAATGATTCTTATGTTTGGTAGACTAAAAGTGGTTACTGCAAATTACAGTGTGTGGGGATAGACTGGATCCATGACTTCGGCAAACTGATTGCTGGAAGTTTAATGTGCGAAAACATATTTCTTGACGTCAAGATATACTATCTCTCGTCGTTGGTATACGGACGGCTTATACTAGTCTGTAAACATATTCATCAAATTCCGAAACAGAAAAATTAGAAAATGCTTATGCTTTCAATATTCATGAGTCCCAACTGATTGAATAGACAAGTGGTGTTGGTCACATCGGGCTTACCAACGAAGGTTTTAAACGTAGGCGATCTGTGTCCATGTTGTGGGTGCCTACTCGTGCTGAAAGGGACTGACGAGGCTAACCAGCTTATGCAACAGTTACACTTTGAGATTACCACTTAACCTGGACTACCCTTCCATTGTATCCAGGTACTATGACTACTTTAATGACCGTACGATGCCAACAACGTTGCTACACAAATATATCGATGAAGGTGAGCACAAGAAACAAAGTGAGACCACAGCCGCATACCAGCCAGTCCACGGCGTGCAAGCGATAGATGCGCGTTGATTGTCCTCGGCATCGACCAGGATTGGTGAACTGTTCGATATTCAGTAAAACGGCTGCTGAGTGACTTGGCCAGGTTCCAGTGACGTTTCAGTGGCGGACCAACATGAGGCCAGCCATAACTGGTTTGAAGAAGTTCTATGGTACTAGATATTCTTGCACCATTCTCTAAGCACGATGATCAAAAATTTACATTGTCTGTCGAAAACTAATACATGAACTTTTGGGTCTATCTATCTGTTTGGAAATTGCCACTTACTGACCCCAGGGATGATTTAGGTGTATTTATAGATCCAGGCCCGTCAATAAGATTTCCGTGGCAGCACGAGCCAAGGAAAAATTCGCACACAATTCACCGGCGTCCTTTTCGTTTCGGTACACTTGATTAGCTCTTCTCAGCTATTGTTTAATGACAAAATGTCTGTGTTTCAGATCTTGCGATTTTTCTATTAAATTATCTAGCAGAGACCGGTTCGGCAGTGTTAATATGATATCTGATAAGGCATTTGACAGAGTCACACATAAAGTTCATCTTTTAAAACCTTTTTTGGTGCACGGGATAACTCGTAATGGTCGTTGAAATCTTTCATAATATTACGTCTCTCGACTGTTCATTTGAATCAAATTGATCTAACCCTGTGAATACAGCCAGCGCATCAACAGAGGAAAATGTGGTTATAATTGTTAATTGTTTTATTCAGTATTATCTGTAGTACAGTATGAAGTCCTCGACATAAAGTATTTTGACAACTTTCACAAAATAAAAAATAGATAGTTATATACGTACGTAAGTAAATAAACTGTCTGGAAGTAAATGATCGGTTCATTAGTTTTTCGCTTCATCATCATTGACATGTGATTACATTCCTAGTATGGCAAGCCTTCCAATTTTACCGAGAACTTAACAGGGGTTCATATATACTAGTCTACTATCAAAGAAAGCTTTATTTCAGAAGCACTTCAAGAAGTCGTCAGAGAACTATGCAAATGTAATCGTGCAATGCGATCTCTCGGCAAATATGGTTAAAAATGAGTTCATTCTCACTGGCCGCATCCCTACTCTATGTCTGGATTTATCCAAATAAGTAACAAAACCTGAAGACTGTTTATAATTAAGGTGTTGTAAGGTCGGTGAAATGTCAATGAATATCGAACACATCATCGATCCCTGTCAAGGTCAAGAATAGTCAACGCGCATCAATCAATTATACGCCATGAACTGGCCCACGCGGCAGTGGTTGTTCTTTCGCTTCTGTACTTTCGTGGTTGTGCTTTAACTAATATATTCTTGTAATAACGTCCTTTGTGTTGTACAGTCTCCATAACATCCATGATCCTTTGATGCGTCAAGGGCTGGTCGCGAGGTGTGACCTCGAAGTTAGCTTATTCGTTACACCGTCCCCATCTAACTCGAGTGGGCCTCCAATCATTTCGACATAGACCATCAACGTTGATGATTCTGCACTGGTGAGCCCGACGTGAATATATTAGTTAAGGTACAACCACGAAAGTACAGAAGCGAAAGAACAACCACTGCTGCGTGGGCCAGTTCATGGCGTATAATTGATTGATGCGCGTTGACTATCCTTGACCTTGACAGGGATCGATGACCTGTTCGATATTCATTGACATTCCACTGACCCTATAATGTAAAGTATTAAAGCGGTCTGAACGTTTTCATGTACATCACACTTTATTTGTCAAATGCAAGGGACTTTATGGTTTTATAAGGATGAGTTTCATAACACTAAATCTAAATTATTATTGCGAAAAGATGTACGATACCCATCCCTGAATCTGTTCTCATGGTTTACAGCAATTGTGGGGATGAGGATTTTGTGAAATTTGAAGATGTTTAAAGAAGATTCAATGAAGCTTTATCGGATCATTCGGGTAATATTAATTATCATCAAATATGTTAACGATTCAAGCTATGACTCCCTTGGATCAGGAATAGCAAGATAAAATTTGTTCTCATTCACCGTCTCATAAATGGTCTTCCATATTCTTTGAAATTTACCCCTTCCTATTCTATCAAATCATCCCACAACCCACTGAACAAAGAAAAGGTTTAATTGACTCTAAAAATCTATACAGGCTTACACCAGAATTTATTTCTTGCTCGCCATCCAACCTTACAGAAGAGACTTCCAGCAAGTCTCGTTGCAGTAAAATTGTGTTCCGGTTTGAAAGTTTCATTGATGACTTGGATTCTGAATATGGTTTGTACCAACTATTATTTGCCATTTCAATTGCCAACGATTTATGCAAATAACATCCCACATTCCTTCAAGTGGTTGTAAAGCCAGGTAGAATCTCCGTATTTTTCATCGCAACATCACAAGTCAGCTTGCGTCCATATTTATTATTATTAATCTCCTGATACACCCAACACGTATTCATATTTTACCCTTGATCCTGAATATGTAATAACTTAGGTTGGTTAGTTAAGAGTTGACTTCAAGCATCTAAGTATATGTCAAGACAACAGAGCTCAAGTTTTCATTCACTTATTTATTTTGTATACCTATTATATTTCCTATTATCTGATATCAAATGTTGAAAAGCTTTGTGTGTGTTGAGCAGGTAACTTGGCAAACTATGTCACGATCTAAATAAAGATCTATTCATTGCTAGTCTGGTTTCTTCTATCAATAGAGCCAGGAGTACCTACCGACACGAAGAATAATCTCCGCTTAAGAAACACATATTGTATTACGCCTTCTTCAAAAAACCGATTCTTTAGATCTATTCCAATTCTAAGCATATTAATATTATCACCCCATCAGATCGTTATATGATACTTCATTTCATATTTTTAATCAATACTTTCAACGAACTATCCTTATCCGCTTATGACGAAACTTGGACTACACTTTTAGGCCTCACTTCATATCCTATTTCATAAATTTACAAATTCACATTCGAACAATTATACTGGTTTTTTCATTAAGATGCCATATCGGCTTCGTTGTAGGACGATAACAATACTTGAACTTCTGTTACAAACTAGTTAGTGACATATGCACTTATTCAGAATATATCTTGTTCGCCTTATAGGTTTGAAAAACAGAATCCTTTTTTGCCATTTATTTAATTTACACTGACGACTGACTTTGTTTATTACGTGCTACATTTATAATACCTTTTATTCCTAGTTTAAAATGGTTATTAAAAGATCATTCATACTTATCGTCTGAATTCAGCTCTGTAACCATCTGAAACTGAGAGACCACCATTTAAAACAGGTCACCTAGCCTCCTATCCTTCTCATAACTGAAACTAGATTTGTTTGTCTGTAGCGTTTATGAAGGTTGTATATTTATGCGCCTTTTGAACTTTCTGGCCTTGCCCGTTTTGGGGTCACTTACTGGTCAAGCGAATTCACTAAGCACTGTTTTTTCCAATATCAGCAGAAAGATGTCCTCGGAAGTAGAAAAAGCCAGGACTTCTGTGCATACTCATGGACCTACGATTTTTTCGAAAATTATTAACAAAGAAATCCCAGCTGATATAATTTATGAAGATGATGATTGTCTTGCTTTTAGAGATATCAGTCCTCAAGCTCCAACACATTTTTTAGTTATTCCGAAAAAGCAAATTCCGACACTTGATTCAGCAAGTTCAGAACACGAAAAGGTATACCCGTTTCTCCGTTCTTATATGAATATATATGTTAAGTTATTAGGCCACTTAATGCTTGTATGCAGTCAAGTTGCTCAGAAAGAAGGATTATCTTCTGGTTATCGTGTTGTTGTGAATAACGGCCCTGATGGTGCACAATCTGTTTATCACTTACATCTTCATGTCCTTGGCGGTCGACAAATGAAATGGCCACCTGGTTAAATCGCTATGGAATATTTTGTTTATTACTAGTGGAATTAAATACATTTTTCCTCCTATAGACATAGCTTTGGGATCTTTTTTAACCTGTTCTTCAGTAACGGGGGTAGTAGGTTGGTTACCCTGTTGTAATCTTCACAGTAAATGTATCTTTAGATGTCAAGTTTATTCCTAATATTCACTGGTAAGGGTTGATAATACTCTTTGGATAGTGTCCCAGTTGTTAATTACTAACTGGAAAAGCAAAATCCAAACTGAATTTAGTTCGATAATGGTTTTTGAACCTTAAGGTTCGAAATTTCTGTGATGACTTTAGAGATCATTGGTCTTCGAAAGAACAAAAAGGATAAGAAAGCGCTCAAACCATTACTTAAAACAAAGGGTCGCAGTAAAAGATTACCTCTCTTTCCAAAGTAAACTAATGGAAAACGATTCAGATGTTTCAATCGCTCGTCGTGAGGGTGATTGCAGAGGTGTTTTGTAAACTTGATACCCATTCATCAGCAACTTTGATTAGATATGAATTAGCTAGTCAAGTGCAATACTCTTATTGGAATATCAGATGGAAGTAAAATTCGGGAATTAACCTTAAACTACGTTTTAGTCGATGAAAAGACTTTAATTATGAAGTGATTTATGGTGAAAAAGTCATACAATTATGACTGATAAACCGTTTTAACATGAATAACGAACCTTTATGTATGAACTGTAAGCTTTGTATCTCAAAATAACACCGTCCATAATGTATAGATAAGTTTTACGCTGAAATCCGATTGGTTCGTCCACGTGATTTACTTGTGCTAGTTACCAAGTAGGTGAGGTATGAAATTTAAAACTTTTCCTAGAAACATCAAAGGGTCTGGAAAGCGTGCAGGCGTTATTGAGTTATCGTTTACGATTATACCCGGAATTCTTTTGACAGTGGACTTGTGGAAGCATTGTCTCCTTGATGGCATAATGGTAACTGTTATCGTGACCGATGTTCATTTGTTCACCCTTACTGGAGTTTGTTAATCCACATCGCAATTTCGGACCATCTAATTTATCGATTCTAAGTATGTCAGAGAAACTCAAACCATACACCAGACAAATCCAAAGGTCAGGAACAAGCTGTGTTCCCATGTTGTACAGGCTCTCTCATCTTACAATCTACTGGAAGAATTAGTGTCTATTTTATCTGTTGACTTGATCTAGTTTCTTTTCAAAAGCGTTTACCAGTCAAGAGGACCTTATACTTTTTCAGGTAAAGGTTTCCTGTCGTTGACTTCTACGTCAACAAATGCTCTACAGATAATCATACTAGTTTTCAATGAGGCATATCTTATGTGATTTATTTGAAATTATTTCCGTTAATGATATATATATATATATATGCAGAAAATTTAGCCAAGTAAATCAATGAAAACAAAGGTATTAACTTTCACTCATTTGTTATTTATAGCAGAAAATGCAAAACGAAATTCCCTACGTATAGGGTTACATTGTAAGACTCATTGTCCCTTCAATGAAATGATTTCTGTTATTATTAAAAACATTATTATTATTATTATTATTTATCCTCTTCCCACCATTTTCATGTTTTATTAATTTAATCTTTTGAGGTTGTTATCATGTGTTCCAAATTTTTGCAAGCTATAAACATTTCAAGTGAGACTAACTATTTCATCCAATTATTTAGAAACTGAAATAAATAACTAGTTAGTCCCTAAATTAAGTATTTTTTTAGTTAGTTTAAGAGGCATTAAAACATAGGTTCGGGCATTTTCTGTGTAAATTAAACACATAAACTACAGAAAACTAATGTTGCAAGATTGGAGCCTACACTTGTTGACTTGAAAGAAACAATTTTAATCTTTTTACTCAATCTCAATTCAAGGAAACGACGCATCACTAATCCGCCGGTAATGTTGCCGGAATCTTTCAAGTTGATGTATTCCAAGAAGTATCTATTAGACTTCCGGCTGTCACCTTGAGGACATTTTTCAAAACCAGAAGAACTAGGATGGATTATGGTGTTTACTAGTTTTCGAATGATTTTTAAAATTTAAGTTGTGCTTCAAATTCATAATTTATTAAGGTTATTAGTTCATGTCATAAGTGAGCCATAAAAGATCTTCAAGTTTATCACACTACAGAGTGGTGGTTAATCACAATTTTATCATCTTAAATAATGTATTTACTTTTAAATACTTTTTTAACATACCAAGCTATTTTTAAACAATAAAAGAATATTATTTTGCCGAATTACTACGATCGCTTGTGTATGTGGCAAACATTGATACATGAATCCCATAGTCTTACACACCGTGCATGACCTGGATTTGTCTGACTTATAGAAGGTAATGAAATGTTCAGAATTGATTATTTTTGTTCTCTCTTTAACCACTCAACATTGAATTCGAGGTCATCGGCCAAAAAATTAGTGAAAAACAATGAAACATCATCTTGAAATCTTGTAACTACTCACAACCCTACACCAACCACAAAACTATCAAGTCTTGCGATGAGTATAATATCACATAATAAAAACATGTAGAGCCACTGTTACATGCGCCGGTTCATGTCATTTAATTGATTATACCTCATTGATTGCCCTTTACGTCAACGAGTCTCAGTAAACTGTTCGACATTCAGTGTATGTCAGATTTTTTGCATCAAAATGTTCAGTTCGATTTCAGGTGATTACAGTTAATCTTCAGGAAACTTGACTTGACCCATATCTTGTGTTAGTTGGTTCTCATCAGCAAGTTGTAAATGTAATTTTGAAAGAATTTCTTCCCGATAGTGGATTAGAGCTCGAGTCACACAGCTTCATAAACTAATGCGTTAATATAACTATTCAAACTGCAACTGACCTCTTTTAGGTTTTACGATATTTGTATTGAACAATCACTGAATAATGACCAACACTATATTTGTCTAATCTTCTAGTACCGTTTCATATCGTGTGTTTGAATGCCCTGTTTATATATATACCTTGACGATGCCTGCCATTTGGATAACAGTGAATTACCGATCGATCCAACGACATACAAAACCTGTGCGATCAGTCTAGAGCACTTATCGGTCCCGCTATCTGCCTAGCCCAGCCGGTTACGTCCAGAACACCAATAACAGCCTCTGCAATATGAATCATTATTCTCAAACATACTGAGTTTATATACCAATCAGACAGACCATATCGTACCATAGAATAGGAAACAACATTTGTACAAAACTCAGCTAAATGTGGCCGTGAATAGGGGGAACAGTGATTAATAGACTGTGTATAACTCAGGAATGGTAAATCGTACAGTAGTAGTCTATGGGTCAAAATAAAGCTTATAATAAAAGGAACGTGAATATGAATAGTTTAGTTACTTAACGATTATACAATAGGAAATATACATACCATATTGATCCATAAACGGTCCTCAACAGTTACTAATCATAATTCTCTTCGGGATATAACAACCTATTGAATTCTGTTGCCTTGTTGATGCGTCTCAACTAGTGTGAAATATAAGTCATACAAAGTTTCCTACCAGCTAACTCCAACCACGTAATAGCTATCTCACATCCGACATATTCTATAACTTAATGATGCAGCTCCTCACTAATATTTCTAAGAATTCATTTCATCTAAACTGATCACTAATAACCACAATATATGTGGTTGATAAATATTTTTTAAATCTTCATTTTATCATAGGGGCACCGAATCCATATGCGCCACACAAATCTCATTTGATTTGTCTGAGGGCTGAGATACTGCCCAGGTACCCAAAATGAAGCAGGTGGTTTCCTTTGGTAGTCGCACCCGGAGCCTTTGACCTAAAGGTTTAATCCACAAGGCAATGGAGCATCGTAAGGAGATGCAGTCCCATGGTAAATGGTGACCAACGATTGATTCATTGACCATTTGTTCCCTCAAGATCCTGGAACCCATGTGCACCATTGGTTTGAAATCAGGGCTTCCTAATTCCCCTAGGTGAACTTTCCGTGTCCACCAACTTGGTTAAAACGCTGGACATTCGTTTTTCGTCCTCTCAATTTCGTAAACAACATTAATGCCGTGAGAAGGCAGTGAGTAGGACTTCCCTTTCAGAGGCTATATACGCGTGGTCATGTGAGAGCATTTGGAGAGGGAGAGCAGACTCTTCACACTCTCGGTCGTACCAGGGCATTTGGGGGCTGACTCCTCGACCGGGAATCGAACCCGGGCCTTCTACGTGACAGGACTGAAAATCAACTATCAAGAAGCCACAAATAGTAATGAAAAAAGAACAACTAAGTCTAAATATGTATTTATAAATAAAAATGAATCAATAAACGGTTGTATTTATAAATTAACAGCTGACTGAGTTTCTGTTTTTTAAAAGAAAAACAGACCCGTTAGCAACTACATTCCAATTGTGTACAGTAGAGTATATGTATATGGAGGGGTTTTCTTTCCCTTTTTGTACAAGACGAATAAACAAAAACAGAGAATAATGAAATAAAAATAAATTAAATTAAGGTAATCATAATTGAAAAAATCATATATATACTTGGACTAATGCATATATGTATATATGCCTAGTCCTACGTTGTAGCTGACCGACTGACTGTCTACATTGAGACTTTGAAATGATACATTCAAGGAATCCCATGTTATCTGAATGTCTACATAGACATTCTAAAGATTATTATTCCTTTTCTTAGATGTCATTTATAATGATTGATCTTCAAAATATTGTTCCGTTATAGATTTTGTAGTTGATCGATTCATATTCATCATTGTTAATAATGATTCATTTGAAGTAATGTTAGGATCATTCATTTGATTAGAGGTTACAGATGAAATCAGATCATGTTCATGTATGATTTCAGGTACTTTATATGGATTATTACATTGTAAATATGAAGGATTCGTTGTCAAGTAAGTGTTGTGTTGTATTAAAACATTTGATGATTGATCATATTCAATCAGATCTGATTTTGTATTATCATATTGTAATGAATCGGTAAATTTGGATGAAAAACAATCATTTGTTGAACAAAATCCTAAATAATAAGTTGAACAACAAGGATATTGATTGATGGATTCATTATCGGACCATAAATGATGAAGTAATGTATTGGTATTTTCTTCAGGATAATCTCCCCTGTTTGTAGGATATGATAAATCTTTTCTTATGTTGAATTGATCTATTGTAGAATTAGTTGATGAAATAGGTATTCTGTTGAATAAAGAGGTAAATATGAAAAAGATATGATTATTAATATGTTTAAAGTATCTATTAAAAATATTAACACCGTTGGATGCCGGCCAACTCAGCGAATGTCTGGCGCTTTAACCGGGTTGGTGGACACGGAAAGTCCACCTAGGGTAGTTGGAAAACCTTCATTCAAAACCAATGATGCGCATGGGTAACCCCATACCACAATTTATTTATTTAAACACATAAATATTGGTACAGCGAAGCACCAGGTACATATGCGCCGCACAAATCTCTTTCGATTTGTGTGTGGGCTGAGATACTTCCCAGGTGCCCAAACTGAAGAAGGTGGTTTTCTTAAGGGGCCACACCCGGAGCCTTTGACCTAAAGGTGTAATCCACAAGGCAGTGGAGCATCGTGAGGAGATGTATTTCCATAGTAGCCGGTGACCAACGATTGATTCATATGCCATTTGTACCCTCAGGATCCTGGAGCCCATCTGCACCATTGGTTTTGAATGAAGGTTTTCCATCTCCCCTAAGTGGACTTTCCGTGTCCATCAACCCAGTTAAAGCACCGGACATTCGCTTTTCGTCCTCTCAATTTCGTAAACAACATTAATGCCATGAGAAGGCAGTGAGTAGGACTTCCCTTTCAGAGGCTATATACGCGTGGTCATGTGAGAGCATTTGGAGAGGGAGAGCGGACTCTTCACACTCTCGGTCGTACCAGGGCATTTGGGGGCCCATACCACAATACAAGTAAACAACATTAAGGGAATATCCATTGAATAGTTCTTTATACATATAAAATCACATCTAATTAGTTGCTATGACAACAAATGAATAGTTCAATATTAAATATAAACTTACTTATCATATTTATTTGTATATTTCAATGAACAATCTTGATCTTTTGAATTATCATTTGAATGGATTACAGATTCTATAAGAAAAAATTATTTAAATTCATAGAAAAATTTATTCAGTTATTGAATATTAAATTTTTATATAAAATTATGATAATTATATATAAATGAAAGCGTGAGTCAATTGAAGCTAGACCATCAGGGAAAACCTGGAATCACTGCTTTAAGGCCGTTTCGTCCTATTATGGGACTCCTCCTTCTGATAGTAATCATAATCATATGGTCATTAGTGACTGACTTCGAGAGGTAAATCCAGGAGTTCTAGTGAGTAGCAGTGACCAGTAGAGTTCAAACCACGTCTGTTGTGAGATATCAACTCGCTAAAGACAATTGGTGAGTGGTTGCTTAACTTCGTGGATCAGTTGAAGTTAGACATTAACACCATTGGATGCCTGCTCAGTGGTCTATCGGTTAAAGGCTCTGGCTCGAGACCGGTAGGTCCTGGTTTCGAATATCGCGAGGCGGGATCATGGATGCGCACTGCTGAGTAGTTCCATAATAGGACGAAAAGGCCTTAAAGCAGTGCTTCCAGGTTTTCCCGGGTGCCCTAGCTTCAATTGACTCATAATTTCAACTATGAGAAATACTGAAGTCTCCACAAAACCCCTTCTGAGTATAGTTTTTAAATAACTAAGCTACTCATTTTCATTTTATTTTTATTATGAGCTTTATTTTGACCTACGAACCATTATTATACGGTTTACCATTCTTGAATTATCCGTAGTCAATTAATTACTGTTCCCTATATATTCACAGCCAAATTTGTCTGAATCTTGTACAAATGTCGTTTCCTATTTTATTGCACGATGTGGTCTGTTTGGTTGCTATATAAACCCAGTATGTTTGAAATATAGTGATTTATATTGCAGAGGTTGTTATTGTTGTTCTGAACTTAACTGGTTGGGCTAGGCAGAAACAGGACTGATAAGTACTCTAGACTGCTCGTATAGGTTTCGTGTGTCACTGATTCGATCGATAATTCGCTGCTCTCTAATAGGCGGGTACAAAGTATAACAATTGGCGGCCACAAAATATAATAGTTATCTTTAGTTATTGAATAAGAATCCCAGAGTTGGTATTGTATAACATTGGTCCTCTCATATCATAAAGTGTAATAATCATTGTTATAGAAAAGATAAATTTGTGGCTAGCGGTGGAATCCAACAGGCACGTTTCGTACTATCTGAGAATTGTGAGCTGTATGTACCTACATTCAAGTTCTTTTGTGTACATCTGAACTCGAAGCCAGTATTGTTAGTATAAAACGACCATTGCTGACTAGAAATCTATCTATTCCGTAAAAACTTATACTAAACTATTTTGTCGAGGTAATCCAAATATATCAACAAAAACTGATCAAAATTAACTCAAGTTTATCAGTAACAGGGTTATTCAAATAATGACTGAATAATCATTGGACCTAACAAGTAAGTATTTGTGCTCAGTACAGATAAGGCTGATTTAACAGTTAAGCCTGGTATTTCCTTATATTGCCATCTAGATCTATATGACTTATGAGTATGTCTGTATACAATACAACATTCACCAATCGAATTACACTTGACGGAGAAGCTTTGGAAGATGTGGAAACCTTTACATATCTGGGCAGTATCATTGATGAACACGGTGGATCTGATGCAGATGTGAGGGCGAGGATCGGCAAAGCAAGAGCAGCATATTTGCAACTGAAGAACATCTGGAACTCAAAACAACTATCAACCAACACCAAGATCAGAGTTTTCAACACAAATGTCAAGATCGTTATACTGTATTGGACGGAAGCCTTGAAAGCTAAAAAAAAGCCATCATCCAGAAGATACAGGTGTTTATTAACAGTTGTCTATGCAAAATACTTCGGATCCGTTGGCCAGACTCGATCAGCAACATTCTATTGTGGGAGACAACAAACCAGATTCCAATGGAGGAAGAAATCAGGAATAAGCGCTGGAAGTGATAGGACACACATTGAGGAAGTCACCCAACTGCGTCATAAGACAAGCCCTCATATGGAATACTGAAGGTCAAAGGAGAAGAGGAAGATCAAAGAACACATTACTCCGAGAAATAGAGACAGACATGAGCAGAATGAATAAAAATTGGATAGAACTAGAAAAGAAGGCCCAGGACACAGTGTGTTGGAGAATGCTGGTCGTCGGCCTATGCTCCATTGTGAGTAACAGGTGTACGTAAGTAAGTAAAATGTCTGTATAAATATACGGTTATAATCATTAAACATATATGGAAAAGTGTAAATTTGTATTACTGTTGAGAGATATCTATAGTTTCTTGAAAAATTTCCTAAAATGCTTATATCTACTTCCGACCAATCAGTGTTTGCATAGATGTTTCGCCTATTCAGTTGATTATTACTATGACCATTGATTTCAGCACACTTTCAAGAAGCTTTTAGAACTTCAAGGTCACTTCTAACCCTAGAAATACCTTTTATTTCTTTTTTTTAACTAATATTCAGTGTAATGATTGTTTTCCCATTTCCCTATTCATGATTTGTTTATGGTCTAAAGTGTTAATTATTTTAATTCAATCAATTCGTGATATTTTCATAGTTGAAATCATGAGTCAATTGAAGCTAGACTACCATGGAAAACCTAGAAGCACTGGATGGCCGTTTCGTCCTATTATAGGAGTGTGCATCCACGATCCCACCTCGCGAGATTCGAACCCAGGACCTACCAGTCTCTCGTGATATAACATTACAAAGTTATTGGTAATATCTATCTCTCACTAAACATGTTGAAACATCATTCATTAGCTAAAAGATCATTATGATTAGACTACTTACAATAGTTATTTTGCGATTATGTCAACTAAATTGGGATCATTTACATTCATTATTCTTAAGTTTTCAATTATTTAAGTATAAACTGTGATCACTTAATTCTCACAGTGTATAACTACTTAGTTGGGATCCGCCAAATGATAACAATCGATGGATAGAAACCTTGAATGACATGGCTCAAAATTGTTTGCTATGGTGAAGGTGCATCCACTCTTTGTGTTCTCCCAAATTCTAATCTTATGAATTCTTCATGTCCCTTTCTATTTTTCTGGTTCCAAATTGATTTCACTGGATTATACTCCTTCAATAACATCTTCAAACCCAAATCTTTCGGATTACTGCTTATACTCTTACTACTTCTGCCACTATGGGATTCGAATCGACAACTGCATCTCTGTGTTAATATGATATGGCAAGTTGAACTGATGTACATACGTACTAAGTTTTGTGTTGTTGCTGACTGACTGATTGTATAACAACATATGAGCTTTAATTATAAGTTATCCCAATAACCTAATTATTACTTAACAGATTAAACTATGGAACTTAATTACTAATTATAACTACATATGAATTTAAGGGTCAGTATATATAAATAACAAATATATATGAAAGCATATAAAACATGAAAGAAAATTTTATAAGCAAGATTGGATACTGGCTATCAGTGGAATCCAGTTTGACACGTGTTTCGTCCTATTTGGGACTCGTCAGCTGGGTGTAACCGCATCTCAGAGTTGATGTTCACTCTGCGAGGGACTCGAACCTAGTATCGTTCACTTCAAACACCGTCTCATTATCCACTTATCTACTGAATGTACGTATACTAACAAAAGATTGATCAATTGTAGTTTTAAATAACAATAGGAAGATATAAAAGAAAATTTACCATAATTTAAATCCATCAATGATTGTACTGCATAATCAACTTTCATTGACTTATTCATTGAATATTGATTTTCATTAGAAGATTGAATAGGATTCAATTCTATTGAATTATTCATTGTATTTGTTGTTAACAGATTATCATAACTTAAATTGTCATTATTAAAGTGTGAATATGGTAGTGTAGTAGTACTACTATTATATAATTGTTCATAATTTGATATTCTACTTAATTTGATATGAGTAGTAGTAGTATCCATTTTATTGAATGGAATAGTTGAATGACATAATTCATTTGATTTAATATATTCATATTCATAATTTGTATTGAATGATTGTAATAAATTACAATCTGTAAATGGTTGTATAAAATTACTATAAGGATCATTGTTAGTTGTATGAATGTGATTGTTACTATGATTAGTTGAACACCATAATTCAGAATCAGTAAATGAATAAGGTAGTTTACGTGAATGATAAGTTTTCTCATAGTTGCTATGGTTATTATTATTATTATTACCGATTATAGTAGGATCTGTTACAATTGTCGGTGTTGGTGTTGTGACGGTTGTTGTAGTTGTTATTGTAGTACGATTGATTTTAGTAGTAGTACGACTACGTCGTTTCACTTGTGTAGCATAATTATCTCTAGCTGACCAACCAGGATATAAACGTTGATGTAATTCTTTTTCTTGTTTAGCTAATTTATAATATTTAGCTTGTGCTTCACTAGATAATGCATGCCATTTTCTACCTAAAATTTGATTAATTGCCGCTGATTCTTTTAATGTACATTCAGCAATTACTTGTGAACGCATTTCTTTCATAAATAACATAAATGCATTTAATGGTTTTTTAATATGTCCATGATATTTTATTGTACGTTTATAGGATTCTGTTTTATTATCATTATTTTGTTTACTACTTTTATTATTTAAGTAGTCAAATGATGATTTAGTAAATTTATAAAGATTTTGTGAATTTTGTGGTTGATTCAATATTGTATTTTGTCTATGATTGTTCTCATAATGTTTTGATTCACAATCATCAAAGTGTTCTGTATCATTATTATGATTAGTATTACTGACAGTTTTCATATTCGTACATTCAATAGTGCTGGGTGATATTGATGATGAAAATGATGATTCTATTGGGTTGAATATGATTCCATTTTTTGTTCCTACTGTTGATGCGGTTGTTGGTATTGTTAATATAGATTTAGAATTTTCAGAAAATGGCCTAAAATTAGGAAATGAATACTATCAATAACTTGTCTTCTTAGATAAAAAATTCAGTTTTAGATCCTCCCCCAAATGCCCTAGTACGGCCTTGAGTGGGGAGAGTCCGCTCTCCCTCTCAAAATACTCTCACATGACCACGCGTATATAGCCTCTCCCAGAGGAGTCCTACTCACTGCCTTCTCGTGGCTGGGGTGTTGCTTACGAAATTGAAACGATGAGAAGAGAATGTCTAGTGCTTTAACTGGGTTGATAGACATAGAGAATCCACCCAATGAAAATCGAAAACCCTCATTCTAAATCAATGATGCACATAGGCTCCAGTACCCTAAGGGGACAAATGGCGTATGAACCAATCTTCGGTCACCGGCTACCATGGACTGCATCTCCTCACGATGCTCCACTGCCTTATGGATCAGATCTTTAGGTCAAAGGCTCCGGGTGTGGCCCCCTAGGAAAACCACTTTCTTCAGTTTGGGCACCTGGGAAGTATCACAGTCCTCACACAAATGAAATGAGATTTGTGCGGCGCATATGTACCTGGTGCTTCGTTGTACCAATATTTATGTGTTTAAATAAAATAAATAAAATTTTAGATCCTAGTGACAAAGATCACAAATTTTCTATGATTGCAGACATTGATTTTGCACAGTCACTTTATAACCTTCGAAAAAAATTTCGTCTAATGAATGGTGTCATGCAGTTTCAGTCATAGGCTGACCTTACTTATACAACTATTGGAAATCAGGTAGCACTGAACAACCGTTTTTTATCATCACCCAAGACCCAATCAAGCATTAAACCTATAACCTTCAGGTCATAAATGATCAATAACTTCCTCACATCTGAAATGGTTGAAATCCACTGGTTACGACTCCTTATTAGAAATCCTGAATTTTCCTATCAAAACCAGTCACTAGTAACCACATTATGGTTGGAATCCAGATTGGTAGATCAGTTGACGTCAACACCATTCGGTATATTCAAAGGGTGATTTAATAAATCAATATCATATGAAGATCCTGCTCATTAGCGACAAAACCTTCTACGGTTATTTCATTTTTAATGTAGAGGGTTATGTATAGTGGTAAATTATGTGGTTTTACATCGTATTCTAGTGGGAAAAGTATCATCAGTGACGGTAGAGATTTGTTGCACAACATTGCGAACTGACTAAAGTTAAGCTCATTTAACTTCTAGTAAAGTGAAATTTGGTTAGAAATAATGGTTCTTCGACTATCTCGATAGAAGGATAAAATTATTGTAACGTTCGTCTTCAACTGTACCAAGTTTTATTAAGAGTATTATGACCTTGACGAGGTCGACCTTGCACAAATCTCCATATTTTATGAACCTGGATCGAATAAGATACCAGCCAACCCATCGAAATGAAATTTATGAGTAGAATCAATGGTCGAACAGGAATGCCCATTACATGGTTCATCAGTGAATCTTTCATTTGTTGCGTAAATATTTTCAGGATACGAACTTGGAACTATTCATACTGTTTTTCCTGGAGTTCAAGCAAAGATTCTACTTTTGTAAGAGTTATTAGCATTGTAATTAGTTTACATTGTCGTCAGTGTTACGTTCTCTAATTGATGACGGCAAAACACTGTATACAACTATCAGCACTCAAACATGTATAACTCCCACAGTCGCAAATCAACAGACAGTAGAAGCAAGGGAAGAGATTATTGGGTAAGAGTAAAAATCGGACGTAAAAACAGTGATATTTATAGTTTTTAGTATTGTCTATAACACCATTATATTCCAGCCAATGCGCATTTGGGAAAGTTATACAATTGTCCAACCATAGCATATCACGGTGATATTCTAGGAGGTTTTATCAGGTTCTAACAGAATAGAATCTCTTCGACTTCTTTAGAGTCCCTGCTCGGTGTCGTCCCAACAAGTTTCAGTATGAACGCCTACAATATTTGGATCCAGAAGCACCCAGCTAATGAGTCGCCAATATGACATAACGTGAATCCTGGGTTCCAACACTAGCTGCAATCCAAATGTAATCAATTACTTAACATTTATTCCAAAAGTTAATTTTCTTAACAAACAAAACGATGTACGCAAAGTGATCAATAATTTCAATTTCTAATGATATAATTCTCCCACTGGGATTTTGAGTGTGTACCTCTGAAGATTGTCATATTCGGAAGAAATAGTTGCTTTTTGGATTTTTAATCTAACTTGGATTGGAATAAGTCCATAAAGAGAATCATCTTAAAAAATGAAGAATTTTCACAAAACTGTGTTCTTATGTAAGGGTGTTCTTTTTTTAAAACTTAAACATCTCTTTACTTAACATCAAAGTATGATTTATAACATACTGAACAGTGGTCTATCGGTTAAGTGCTCTGGCGCGAGACTGGTACGTCCGGGGTACAAATCTGGTGAGGCGAGGTCATGGATGCGCACTGCTGAGGAGTTCCACAATAGAACAAAACGGCCTTAAAGCAGTGCTTCCTGGTTTTCGGTGGTGGTCTAGCTTCAATTGACTCACGCTTTCAACTATGAAAATATTGAACAAGACTGATGTTGTTAAAAGATTAGGTTAATATAAATATGAGTAATGACCCTGAAAGTATCAAGTCTTATTAAAAAGTTACAATCTCTTTTGAATTCATCTCAATGACTGTTTACAGGTTCTTGCACTAATTTTTTTTAATTCACAGTTGTTAATACTACTCAATTACATAAATAGAAGTAACAGTAATGTAGTGTGGTCTACTTATATCTATATAAGTAGTATGTGGCGATGGTCAAACATAGAATGTATTTTGGCAGAAGATCGATAAGGAAAGAACAGGAATGAAGCGCAATCGGTATGAAAATGCATGAACAATAAAATCAGAGGAGATGGACTGATATTTACAGAAGGAACAGTGAAGATTAAGACAATTGATTGTTATTTTGCAAATTAACTGTTGATTGTTTGATTATCAGAATGTGGTGAGATATTCTGTAATTTTGTGATCAAATACATTCGATTGTCCCCAGTCGTGTTCTCATTCACTACAGTAGTATCAAATTAGTAATTTACCACTTTACAATTGTATAGATTAATTCATTATTTAAATACTCCTCTCAAATCGAGTTTTTTTTTTTTGAAAATGCTTGACATAATAAAGAATCTAAATTGAAGTGAATTAGAGGTTATGAGGTTGTTTCTCATCTTACTTCAGTAAGTATTATACTCATGATTTATATGTATGGAAGTTGATCACTTCAATACATTAAATTCTAACGGACTGTTTGTAAAAAAAAGGGATAAATTTTATACTTAACTGATTAACCGGTGCCAGAACCAGTAACAGTTTGAGAATCACTTTTTTAATTACTAAATATTTCAACATAACACCTAAATTTTCTGGTACAATCGAGTGGGAAGAGTCAGCTCTCCCTCTATAAATGGTCTCACATGGCTACGCTTATATACCCACTATCAGGAGATTCATACTCATTGCCTTCTCGTGATGGGGGTGTTGTTTACAAAATCTAGAGAACGAAAGTCGAATGTCCGGAGCTTTAATCGGTTTGGTGGATAAGAAGGATCTACCAAGGGAAGTTGGAAAACCGTGATCACAAACTACATAGGCCTCAGGATCTTGAAGGAACAAATGGTGTATGAATAGAGTATTGGTCACTATCTACTATGGAATCACATCTAACGTTGCTCTACTACCTTGTGGATCAGACCTTTAGGTTGAAGGCTGCGAGTCTGGCCTCCTAAGAAAACCACCTGTTTCGGTTTGGGCATCCGGGTATTATCACAGCCCACACACAAATCAAGTGACTTGTGCAGGGCATATGTATTCTGTGCCCGTTTTTACCAATATCTATGTATTCAAATACACTAGCTTTCGTATGAGACCAACTAATATCAATCTATAATAAATACAACTTATATATGAACTAAAGATATTTAACATCACTCTATCTGATTCATTTCAATCCGTAATTTTTATATTTCAGTAATTGAATTCATGAATCAGTTAAAACTAGATCATCATGGAAGAACTAGACAGTCATTTAGATCCTAATATGAAACTCTTCAACAATGAGATCATTTTTGTAATCACATCAATAAAAATTTTAATTATTTTTTTTTAAACAATTCACCCTTTTAAGCAAAGATGGATATTGGCTAGCAGTGGAATCCAGGACAAGGCGCGTTTCGTCCAATATGTGACTCGTCAGCTGGATGTACCTTCATCTCAGAGTTGATAACGTGATGCTGTTTCAAAAGAAAGGTACCGGGTTCGAGTCCTTTCTGGAGTGAACATGAACTCTGAGATGAAGGTACCTCCAGCTGACGAGTCACATATTGAACGAAACGCGCTTCAAACTGAATTCTACTGCTAACAACTATCCATCTTTGTTTATAATGTTTGTGAATTAAGACTATGGTATACACATATGCCAATAAGTGATTGACCAGTCGCAGTCTTAAACATCAATGAGAAGTTTCAAAAACAAACAATACTAAGTGAATTTACCCTTTTGTTTGTATTTTCATTGTATTTTCTAATAATTGTGAATTCCATTTTATATGATCATATTCATGTAAAGGATATTTTAACCATCCTTGTAATCTATTCAATTGATCATTATTATTAGTAGTATTAGTAGTAGTATGAAATGTATCATTTAATATTTCATTAGATTGTTGCCAGATTTTATTAGATTGTTGATTAGTTGTATATTGTATATTATAATGATTAGATTGTAATGAATCCATTGTATGTTTATAATTATTATTTAATAACAATGATGAAGATAATGATAATGATGAAGATGATGATGATGATGTAATCATCTTTTGATGTTCTTGTTCATAAGGTTGACCATAATCATTTTGTTTAGTATTTATGTGATGATGCTGCTGATTCTGTTGCTGCTGCTGCTGCTGCTGATGTGGATGATGATGATGATTCGATGAAATAGAAGGTGATATTGTATAATAATATGATGATAAAGATATAGGATATGTTGTACATGTTAAATTTGATGATTTAGTTTGTATTCTTGAAGGGAATGAATCGTCGTGATTTGATAATGGAGATTTTATTGTTGAAGGATATTTCAATGATAATGATGTATTAGGTGAATGAGTTTGATTTGAATGAACAATATTATGGATATCATCAAGTGAATTATTTTTAATCAGTTGCTGTTGTTGATAAACTAAAAAAAAAATCAGAAAGGGGTTTTGTGAATATTATAGTAATTTTTATCGTTTATATTATGAATCATTTGAGGCTAAACCAACATGGAAAACGTGGAATCACTAAACGGCCGTTTTGTTCTATTGTAGGACTCTTCAGTAGTGCGCATCCATGATCTCGCCTCACGAGATTCGAACCCATGACCTATCAGTCTCGCAAGCGAGCGCTTAACCTATAGACCAAATGAGCCGGCATTCAATAAAATGAAATGATTGCAAATTTTCATTTTAAAAAAAACACCTGATTTTAAGGAGTCAACCAGGTTTCAATATCACCGAATTGATCTATATTATGAAATGACTAAAGTTTTCAAAGGAAAAAGCAGGGAGATATATTCCTATGGTATAAATAAATGGAGTTGTGGTAAGATACATCATTTGGACGTTATGGTGATGTAATTTAAGATGAAACGGTTATTCATTGCTTAGATTAATTTTAAATTATGAGAAACATTTGAAAGATTACCTTTAAAAAAATGCTTAATAATTACTTTGATTTTTAGAAATTGTGAGGAAATATTGTTTTTAGTGACGATAGAATCCCCGTTACAAAAGGCTGGTATTGTTATTTTCAGTGATATAAGTAGTATTCACTGATACAATTGTGATATATACTACTTATATATCTGTCGACATAAGTTTGGCCACCTTTAATTTTATTTACAAATCAAATGTTTAGAATAAGCGGAAACTATACGATTAATATGTGAAAAATGGTGAGACTATAACTTATGGATGACCTTCGAGTGTCCACCTAATAACAAGGACTGAACGAGGGTTATAAACCAGTATGAGGAGTCACAATTATGATTTACAGTTGATGGTTAAGCTTACAAATTAGATTTAGGGTTTTCATCACAAACTGACATCAGCTATAATGCCAAAATTCTAATCAGCCAAATAAATGAATTTCGCGCCGAAATTCAAAGCCTATTATCGCAAATCTGATTGGTTCGTCCATAAATTAGTTTATGTCCATAAGGTGAAATTCAAATTCCAGTTTACTGAAGTTCATATATGAAAACGTTCTTTTAGAAATTTAATTCAATCCCAAAATGAGACTTTTATCAGACTATTAAATTTATCGCATGTTAATGGCGAATATGATTCACTCATTGTTGTCTACTTTATGAGTCCACCTGAATTGTTATCTACATTGCAGGTCCACTAGTCTCATCTGAAAATTACGATTAGGTACGTCAAATTCAAAAGTTCATGAAGCAGTCAATACAACAAATCATGATTCAAATGGTTAGCAGAGATGGATAGTGGCTAGCAGTTGAATCCAGGACGCGCGTTTCGTCCTATTTGGGACTCGTCAGCTGGATGTACCTGCATCTCAGAGTTGATGTTCACTCTGGGATTCGAACTCAGTACCCTCGCTTCAAACGCCATTGCGTTATCCACTCGGCCACTGAGTCCTGATGATTCAAATGCTTTATAATCTCAAAAAAGCTCGAAAATGTAATATTAGGAATTAAATTCTACCAGTTAAGTTACTGAGCAAAATCTCAACCAGATAGTCTGTATATTATGCTTAAGCGTATTTTTTTATTTATAATATTTTATATTTTACTTTCTTTGGTATTATAGATTGAAATTATTCAGCCTCCGCTGACATACGGTGGTCCTGAATGGATTACCTTAATATGTTTATTTTGTTACACAAATTGAACCTAGCAATGAAGTTCAGGACACATATATAATGCTATTTGAGACTCGTCAGCTGGATGCACCTGAACTGTAGTAGTATTATTGGTGTTTACAGTGAGATTCGAAGTTTATACCTATCTTCTGAATCTTCAACTCATTATCTCCCAAGCTACACTATAACCAGTCACTTATTCAGGAAGTATGAAGTTGCATATAAAGCTTTATAATTCCTCATTTTTGATATTTGTAAGGATTGGTTTAAATTAAGTCTAGTCTTGGTCAAGAATTAATATCAATCGGGAAATTATTGTAAACCAAGATGCAATTAACGTTGATTGATATTGTGCCATACAACAGACAAACTGAAGTAATTACTTATATCGGCTATTGAATTTCGACTCTAAACATCCGATGATTGTGATAAGAACTGTAAGTTTTCAATTCCATCCCTGGTAAGAGCGGAATATGAATTACTAAAAATGATTCCCCAATACTAGAATAAAATAGATATACAATACTATATAATTTTCAATAATTATCTTTAATATGAATTACGAATTCAGATTTATAATCACTCTTAGATCGAAGGTTCTGAGTTCAAATCCTGCGAGCGGGATTGTGGATGCGCACTGTTCACCAAGCCCATACTAGGACAAAACGGTCAACTAGTGCTTCTAGGTTTTCAATGGTGTACTAACACCAATCGATTAAGGATTTCAATCAAAAACTTAACAATCTCCTCAACCTCATACTTTCCATATAAAAAAAGTTTGACAATAACCGTAAGGTGTGGTAAATCCGTTAATTTCAATGAAACATTCTCACAGACATTTCCATCAATGAAAGAGGCAATCCTACAGCTTATAAAATAGATTGCAATATATATTTACTATGAATATAAACTAGTTTATCAAGGATGATAATGAGACATCAGTCAGGTTTATCTTAAATATCATAAAACTTGTAAATACAATCATTTAGTCAGAATACCATTTAATAAAGTTCTTTCCCTTTAATAATGAGTACTAATTAATATAATGTTTTCTAAGTTACAGAATCAGTCACTAGTCTAAGTAACTGAGCATCACAGTGTAACTTGTCATTAAGTGATTAGAGCCAAGTGTTATGAGATCTTTAACTGGAGGTTTAGTTCTAGGTAGCGTCTATCATGACATTATATCTATGACTTTGATAGAACTAATATATCATGTGAGTTTCATATCAGTTGTTTTAAATGGAGCTAACTGTGATTCATCACTTACATATGGTCATCAATCGTATCACATTTTTTTAACCAAGAAGAAATCAAACTTACCTTCATCAGATATAGTTGTATTCATCATCATAATGTAAAACAATGAAAAAAAATGAAATAAATTTCCTCAATATTGATACTTCATATAGAATAAATGAATACTAAAAGTAGGGTTTATTATTTGGATAATATGTAAGGTTATTATTACTATTACTATTATTATGGGAAGATTCAAACAAACAATACTAAGTGAATTTATTACTATTATTATTGTTTTTTAATCCCCCTCCCCCACCAAAAAAAAATAACCGCAAATTTTTTTGGTATTTTGTTTTGAAATCAACGAAATAATTTTAACCAATCATATTCTTTAAAAATCTATATTAACTAATGAAGTGCGTAATTTAATTCTGATTGGTTAATATTTTCTACCAATGAAAACACAGAAAATGAGAAATAATACAGACAAAGCCAAAAAAGAAAAGGAAGGGGAGAAAAGTCAATTGAATTAATAGTAAAAGTAACTATCCTACCTTTCAAATGAAAAATAACCAATATGTTGTTATATATGGTGTTGTTTATGAAAGAAAAGACAATTTTGAAACGTAATTGTTCCCTATCTCATTTAAGTTTACAATTTTGTTACGTTCTTCTTTTGTTAGTAGAATTATATTTGAGAAGTAAAAAGGTTTGTGGTGATGATGACGATGATAATGATGATGATGATGGCTAGATCTAAAATGAATGAGAGTAAGATAGAGAGAAGGAATAATTATAGACTCACAAACAAGCAAACACATACATACGCATATCCATGTTCACAATTCTACATTGATCGAATAATTGAATTGTTTCTAACTTACCTAGAACTTTCTTACAGATCAATATTAATGATAGAAGGGCTAAATAGAAAATTTCAATCATCCCGGTAGTTTATTTATACTTTATTTAGATGAGTTTCTTTTTGTTTCAATGTTGAACTATTAACATAACTAGATCACTCAGTGAACATGATGCTTTAGATCAAGGAATCAGTTTATATGGTTCAATTTTTTCTTAATCTAGACACATAAAATATATCGCATTCTGGAACTGATTACCTTTTAGGAAATCCATCTCGATTAGTTAGTCGATGGATGTGATCAAAATTATGATTATTCAGTTATATTAATAATGGGAAGGTAATAAAATGTTGAGCTTATTTGTGAGTAGAAGAGTATGGTTTGAATAAAATGTCTCTTTAATTTTAATTCTTCTCAGTTATGTATCAATGTTGCAAAATCGGGAAACTTTTAAATCTTTTTCCATTTATGTTAAAAAGTTTTTATGATCAGAATGGGGTTTTTTGTGGAGATTGCGGGACGTGCGGCTGCTAGGCGGACATCGGATGTAGATGGCTCAGCAGGACAGTGGAGTACGGGTGTTAAACGTCCCAGGTGCCAGGTGGATGCGGATTTTGGTGCTCCGACAGGTCGACGGAGCTATAGAGGTTGCCGCGCCGCAGACTCGACATTGTGACTGAGATTTTGGCGCAGACTGCAGTGAAAGAAGAAAGTGGCATGGCGAGCAGAACCACTTCATGAACGAATGCCTTAAAGGAGGAACGAGTGCAGTGTGGTCTACTTATATCCACATAAATAGTATATAACGATTGTGAGACATAGAATGTATTTTGGTAGAAGACCGATAAGGAAAGAACTGAAATGAAGCGCAATTGGTAGGAAAATGCATGAACAATAGAATTAGAGAATATAAACTGATATTTATAGAAGGAACAATGAAGATTAAGACAATTGATTGTTATTTTGCAAATTAACTGTTTGCTGTATGGTTAACAGAATTTAGTGAGATAGTCTGTAGTTTGTGCTTAAATACATTCGATTGTCCCTAACTAGTGTTGTTGTTCACTACAATTCTAGTAATTTTAACAGTTGAATTCATTAGTCAATGTAAGCTCGACTATCATGGAAAACCTGGAAGTACTACATAGCCTTTTGTTTTTAGGATGGAACTTTTCAGCAGTGCGCATCCACGCTCTATATCGAGCGATTTAAATGTAGGACCTTCGGTTTTGCACATGAACGCTTAACCTCTAGATTTCTGAGCCGGCATCTGATACTTCAAGGTTTTTCATGATGGTCGAGCTTACATCAACTCATGAATTCAACCATTAAACTTAATCAGTACGTAACTTGTGATTGGATAACTATCTAACTTTGATTATTTTGGGGATTTTACTATGTTCAATGAAATCCATCGTTTAAAAACTCCTAATAAATACTCTTTTATGATAAGAAAATTATTGATCAGAATTAGTTCAAGTTAGAATATACTAGAAATATTTGACTCTAAGTCATCATTTTAATAAAGTGACATATTCACTTTGGAGAGGGTTGTATTCAAACCTCCATCATCATTTTTGTAAAATAGAATAATATCACAAATAAATTGTCTGAAGCTTATTTAAACTTTATGGTTACTGGAATAAACATGTTAACTTTCTCAGATTTATATCTTCTCACTAATGATTTTACAGAGTACAAGTAGTATCTATCGGGAAACCTGGATCTTGAGATAATTGCTTTGAAATCATTATTTTCGTAACAGATTTTTAGCAATGTTCCCTTATGGCTAGCAACAGGAATCATGACAACCGTAAAATAAGAACCTTTTACACAGAATTTCATATCTATCGAACAAGTTATTTGATTTTTGAATTCAGTAGCTTAGTGGTAAACGAGTTGATATTCAAAAAAAGTAAATTCTGAGTCTGAATTTCACTGTAAATACCAAATCAAGAATTCTGGGATATCTAACTGGTGAAACATACATGCAGAATACATTTTACTACTAGCTATAATTCAGTATTAATAAGAATTGGCAACAGTTAATTTTAATGTAAATTTTTTAATCTTAATTAAAATATTATCTGGCTAATGAGTTTAAATAAGTAGTATGGAATATATTAATGATGATCTATTTAGAAATATAAAGAACTAACTAGAGAATACGAATTAAAAAGTGTCGAAATCATTGATTGTTTTATAAAAATTCATTTGGTGATTTAAGCTGAACTATCATTGAAAACTTGGAGGCATTGGATGACCTTTATGTCCTAGTATGGGCCTCCTGACGAGTGGGTATCCAATATCCCTCACCAAAGGGGCTCGAACTCAGGATACTGGTTTACTGGTCTAGAAGTTAAGTATTCGTGTGCAAAACCGAAGGTTTTGGGTTCAAGTCCCTTTGGTGCGGTATCGTAAATGCGCACTCCTCAGGATTCCCATACCAGGACAAAAAGATCATCCAATGTTTTCAGGTTTTCAATGGTGGTCTAGCTTAAATCGACTCATGAATTCAACTGTCAAAATACTACAGTCTCCACAAACCTTATTCGGATTATTCATTTGTCATTTTGAGTTAGGTTTGTGTTATCAATATGGGTTTGTGAGGATTGTTGAAGTTTATTGAGATTACTAATCCATTTAAACTGGATAACCAGTGAAAGCCTGGAAGCACTTGATAACTATTTCGTCCTAGTACAGGGTTTCTCAATGGATATCAGATTTTAGACCTTTCTTGCAAGCAAGCTTTGAACCGGTATTTAATGGTATACAATCCTAAATTCAATACATCCGTGATATTAAGTCACTAACTTCAATTGTCTTCAGTGAGTAACTCCCTCACATCTGACATAGTTGAACTCCACTGGTAACAGCTTCTCCGTAGAACTTCTAAGCTAATCACTAGTGAGTACATAAGTATTATCAGTTTAGGTTTGTGAAGATTATTAACTGACGTCAAATTCATAGGCGATCCATATTTACACTGAAAATTTTGTATACTTGTTTAATGAATATGAAAAATAAGATAAAAACTCTAAAATTTAATGTCTCAATTTTACTTACTTCAGAATTATTCAAATCAACAACAATGCACCTATGTGATCATCATCATCATCATTTTTTTCCCACTGTGCAAAGTATTCATAGTGTTTGATGAAGTCATTCCTTTTAATTGATTGTTTATATACTATCCCTTTTTTATTTTACGAACGAAATAAAATGCTCATAAGTTAAGTTTAATGAAGGAATAGGGTGATTTAACTTGACGAGGTTTGTACGAAGTCAATAATGAATATTCAGATGGATTGTCATCGATTAGCATTGGACAATTGAATAACGATGAGAGACCGAGGTCATATTAATTCAAAGTGATAAATATTTGATTAGAATGAAATCCGTTAGCTGTTTAATCCCGTCCATAACTAATAGTTCGTGTATTTATGAGGCAGACAATATATTCAGTCGTTTAGTCAGTTATTTTATACTCTAATAAATAGTTCTTCAATTATTTCATCCATTTTTATCCATTCCAGTTCATGACTCTTTAAAGAAGAAACAAAGATACTAATGCAGAGTTTATAACATGATTGTCGAAAAACTTGAAATATAACGATTTAATTAGTGGGATAGAAGGTTGTGAAGTTAATTAACCTCTATTTTGACAAGGACAGAATCCAGTAGTAAAGGTCTGCATTTATTCATATTTGTAATTGTAATTAACCAAACAAATTCCTGGTAAGAGTTTTATTGTTTAGCAAGTTTCTCTTCTAAGAAATAGGATTGCCCAAATCTTCTTCTTTATGATTGCTTGAGACTGACAATAACTCTAGATTGGTTTCAGGTGGAGTTATAAACGCATGTCTACACATGACACTCCAGATTCTCCGAACAAACACCATCAGAAATAACCTATCATAATAGACAACAGACCAGATGATAGCTTAGCAGCAAACTAAGAAGAGATTCTGGGGATGGATAGGATGCACTATACGCGATCCGTTAGACTGTATCACAAATCAAGCGCTACCTGGAATCCTTGAGGTGAAATGAAAAGGAGCGGGCCAAAGAACACATGGTTCTGTAAGTCAGAGGTAGATATCACAATTATGAACAGTGCACAATAATATCCATAAAGAAGAGGCCATGATAGAATTGTATGGTGGTGCTGATAGGCGGCTAATGCCTCAAGTGAGGTAACAGGAGTTAGTAAGTAAACGAGCATATTGGCCTTTTAAGAAATTTTCAG